CCTTAAATTTCATGTCGATATGTGGTGTCGTTTGAGTTGAACAAAATTTTTGCTACATTGCTATTGATTTTTTTAAGAGAAAAAGGGGGGGTATATAAGCAATTGTTTAAGTGAGAGATGTAAATATCTCCACAAACTCAAGCTTGATTGTGACCTTTGGGTCAATGGGGTTAAGGTAAAGGGTCATTTATCGAGGTCAAAGGTCAAGGTCATAAAAAAAACCTTATAAACTTGAGTTTAACACTTAAAGTTGAATCAAGCTAAATATAATAACTAATACGGAAAAGCATAAGGCATGTATGATAATACCCGAGAGAGAATATTATGTCATGCCAAAACTCTCTCGGATTATCCTAATAAGTGAAAAATTCTCTACGCACTTCCGTTGCGTTTACCGAAGGAAATTTCAACGTGAAGACTGGAATGCTGTTTAAGGAGAAATATGGGATTCTTAAGAGATGCAGAGTCAATCCGCTAGCATGGACTAAGACAGAAATATATGCAGAGACAGTCTGAATCGACACTTTAGGTTGAAATAAAATAAATACATGTTTTTAAACCCATAAATACCAGTGGGGGTACAATGTAAACAAACCTGAGTGGCATACCTTTCTCTCTTATAATGTATAGTGGGGTATTTTTTGTGTAGCGATTATTTTGGGGTTTTAACAATTTTTTTCTACTGTACTTAATATGAACAAGTGTAATAAATATAATTTGTGAAAAAAAATGTCCAACAAGCCCCATGGTTGAATATTTAGGGGGGGGGGGGGTCCGGTTTACAAGTACCTGTGACAAGATCTGCATCATCGCCAAAATTGTACAATAAAAAGAAGTCGTACTAAAAGCATAATACAATCGTAATATGGTCGTCACTACCATAGCGATATCGTCGTACAGTCATCTAGATCTGCGTAGCGTCGTAGTATGATCTTGAATGTTAAAGCTGCAGCATAGCGTAAATGCAGCAAACGCAGCCACTGGTCGGCAACGGTCCGCGTAACATCGAAGTAGAAGCATGTTAGCAGCACGTTTGACGTAGGAACATTGTAGTACGGTCGTAATGAAGACCACAATTTGCTAAATTGCTCGATTTAGATGCCGATCGGCACCGATCCACCTCATTCCACAACTTTCTCAGATCAAGGCTTGATTGGAATGATCTTCGTAAAATCGTAGCTCTGTGTGAATGGGGGGTAAAAGACACATGTCCACTGACATACTTCTCATCTTATGCTGAAAAAATCCCATTATGGACAGAATAATGGGCCCAGAAAAATGGACTCTAAGAATCAAAACTCCACTTAGACAATGTAGGGCAAGCTATTTGTCATTTAATATCTCTAAAATAAGGCTAGAAATGATATAACTGCTTTAAAGTATGTGGGACATACTAAATTAGAAACATACAAAATATGATAAAAAATTGACACAAGTCAAGTATTTTTTTTTTCTTCCCCTTAACACCCTGGAGGAGCAGAGGAGATTTTCAAAGAATTAATGTTATTTCACTGTATAATCAATGGAGCCCAGCCTTAACAACCAAATCCCTGACCCAGGGACCATGAAATTCACAATTTAAATAGGGGCAATCTTCCTATTCAAGACTATGTACATGGTTCATCAGCTTGATACCCAGGAGCGAAGGAGAAGATTCCTGATCCAGGTGCAATGAAATTCACAATTTTGGAAGAGGCATCCTTCCTTATCATAACTATGCATTTAGTTTGTTTTTATAATACCCAGGAACAGAGAAGATTTCACTAAATGATCATTAGAGCCCTGTCCTAACACCAGAACCCCTGACCCTTAGGCCATGAATTTCACAATTTCAGTAGAGGGCTCAATGCTGATTACAATCATGCAAACAGTTTGGCTGCCTGATATCTAGGAGTAAAGAATATTTTTAAAGATTGCATAAATCAGTGGCTTTTGCCAAACCCATCAGGCCCAAGGGGAGTAGGGATCATGAAATTAACAATATTTACTCCCCTTCACCCATAGATGCTATATGCTAAAATTGGTTGAAAATGGTTCAGTGGTCTCACAAAAATCCTATTTAATAAGATTTTCAAATCAAATAGATTTTTAACAGCTTTCATCCCCAGTTTTCCAATATAAATCACCCGTAGAAGATGTGACTCACCAATAATGGCATTTGTAGAGTCACTCAGCTCTGATTTAATGGCCCCTTAAAAGTTTTCACTTACAGTCCCTGAAACGTTCTTCTTTCCCATCTGAACGGTGAACGAACGCTGAACAAACGCAGAGCGAACGATGAGTATGAACGACGTGAAAACGCTGAACGCAACTTGGTGAACGATGTGTGAACGGTGAACAGTGAGTAAATGCAGAATGCGAACGGAGTGCGAACGCGAGCGCAAAGTGAACGGTGAACGCAAGATGAACGATTTATTCGGAATGCCTCCGATCTTTTCCTTGCATTGAAATTATTCTATAACATGTATTCTATAATTCTAATTTCAGGTGCTAAAATATAAATAAACAATTATAGATATACTAATAATAAAAACAATTTTTCTGCACATACATATGTTTTAAATCGATATTTTAATAATACGATTTTAATTGCCGTAAAGCATGAGTATTTGTTACTGAACGCGTGTAGTATAAATATAAAATTAATCTATTTGTATAGTAAATATGCTTATTCTTTTAACTAATAAAATAATGTGGACTGTAGATGATAAAACTACTACTTATAGAATGAATTAATTACATTGTACCCGGTTGAAACAACCATACATGTATTTCCGCGCCAAGGTGATTCTGAGTAAAATAACGAATTTTTTTAAAATTTACAAATGTCTTGTTGACGTATTGCATAAATACACTCGTATTTTAAAATTCTAATGCAAAATATCAAAAATTTATGTGTCATTTTTATTCTTTTATGATGATTATTTTAGCTAACTTCTACAAGTATCTGTTGATATTTCCCGGCCGTGATTATACTAGGAAAAGATGATGGAAAGAGGCAATCAAATTATTTGTAATAGATTAAATTTTCAAAATTAAATAAGTAATGTGCTGTCATAGATTTTATTGAACAGAGAAATGTACAGAGAGAGAGAGAGAGAGACCCTTTTATCCTCAGATATCTGTTGTATCAAATAAAAATTATTTTTTTACCTAAATATTCCAAGCAGTAAAAGTAATCAATTTTTTAAGATTAACAAATCCATTTGACAGTATTCATCGACTTTTATTTTACATCTTCAAGTTCACATGGTTCACAGGAAGTCCACGTGCTTGTCCTGTCAATCAAAATAATTCGACACAGTGGAGGTGTGGAAATCGCGTTTCACCGAACATGCCGAAGGCAAAGAGTCACTTAGTATTTCCAAGAAGTTTTGATATTTTTTCCTATCATTTCTAGATCTGATTTTCGCTTTTCTGCAGAAAAAAATAAATAAATAATGGCGCGTGGAAATATATACTTGAAAAGATTAATTTTAGATTGAATTTCAGACATATTCCCTGCCAATTAAAAATACTACTGTCGGCACATGTATATTTTGAAATGCTATTGTTTAATGACTGTTTTGATGTTCGTTTTAAGACTGATTTTCTTGTGTTACAATACACATTAAATATTAATTAATCGATACGTATCGATATTCAAGAATAATATCGTATCGAAAAATAACTTCCAATACGTATCGGACAGACAGTTTTTCTTCTAATTCTGTTAAAAAGATGGGAATTTTAATCATCAAAGATTATAATTCACATTTTTGAATTAAAACTGTTCAATAATTATATAATCTGAAAGGAAAAAACACAGTTTTTATGATTATTACAAAGTACAAAGAGAATTTTATTTGAACATGTACTGTCATTAAACTTTTACTGTCATTAAAATTTTTATTTTGAAGTGTTATTTGTAATGACAATGACACAAGAACTTTAACATGGGTAATAAAACACTCAATTGTTATGAAATTCATGCATTACAATGATTTAGAAGTCTTTTCTGATTGGCTTGTTTTAGAATCCAATATATCGCATATCGCTTTAAAAAATATTGTATCGTATCGTATCAAACTTTTTGGCCCAATACACAGCCCTAGAAAATACTGAGAATTTGATTTCGAGAGAAAAAGCGCCCGGAGGGGGGGAGGGTTCTTAATCAGACATATATTTAGTTACGATGAAGAAAGGAATTTTCACTCTCTAAAAATAGACTTAACGTAAAGTAGAAAAAAATTCTAATGTATTACATTTAAAACAGTTGGTCTTTTCTAAAATTTAAAATCACACTATCAATTTAATTAGCTCTAAAGATATTTAATTAACTGAATATCTGCAGTACTGTTCATACTTCTCAGTCCTATATGTTTGCTTGCATTTTTTTTTAAATACGTGTTAGAAATTATTTTTTTTGTGTATTCTTGTCTTGTAAAAGACTTGGAATATGATCCATCCATTAACGATTTGTCGTCTTTTAAATTACAACAAAATGTTGCCATGCTTGAAGCATTTGTACATTGCCCTTATTTAAATTTAATATTTTATCGTTCTAATGTAGGTACTTAATGAATTATTTTCCAGGGAAATTTCATGGATAAAGTAACAGCTAAGTTATAATAATAGAGATATAAATAAAGTAGATACTTTCTGCAAAAAAATAATTATTCTTCAAACACGATATCTTAGTTATTTAATTAAAAAATGTGTAAATCCTTACCATGAAAAAGATAAGTCCTTTCACTCCGGATCTCCGAATGACAATGAAGACTGAACGATAAGTGAACGGTGAACGCAAAGTAAACGGAACGAAGAGCGAACAGTGAACGTTTTGTGAACGGTGAACGTGAGTGCACGGCGAACGGTGAACGCAAAACTGTGAACGGAGAGCGAACGGTGAATGAACGATGAACGAACGGTGAACGAACGGTGAGCGAACGGAAAAAAGTAGAACGTTTCAGGGACTGTACCAGTGATAGTGTTTGGAGAGTCCCTTAGTCTTGACTTACCGCCGATAGCGCTTGGAGAGCTCCTCTGATGTTGTCTGCGGTGGAACTGGAGTGGACTTTTTGTTGAATCCTGGGAAAGAAAAAAGTGTTCCTGGACACAGACTTGACATCCTGTGACACACGTCTGAACTTCAAATTCTGAATAACAAAAGAATACTTTTCTATTACTGAAATTTATCTACTTGGAATTTACTGCTATTTACCTTAGAATGATATACGACAGGTAGCTAAAAGATTTTACTATCTGACACTCTAGGGCTGTTTACATTTGAATAAAATAAGAAGGATTATGTTCATAGTCCCTTCACTACTTTACAGCCCTTAAAATTTACATATCCTGTACTCCTCATACAGTGATTAGAAATGATAACAATTTATTTTTTTTACCCAATAAATATACACAGCTGCAAGTACATACATGAATATGTACTGGTAGTCCCTATTGTAAAATATACATGTAAAGGAAAACAGCTCAACCCATTCATTACAGATGGTAGTATCTACTATCTAGGATTCTTTTGAGAGACTTGTGAGTTGCAATGGCAAACTCTTGGAAATAATAACCAATGCCTTTTAATGTAGAACCTACATCGTATGACATCTTATTTCCTATGTAGCTTGCAACATGAGCTTTGATTGGTTACAGAGTCGGGTGTAAATTTCCGTGCACCCGACTTGAGCCGGAATAAACCATTACGTCACAATGCATACTTTCTCTATGATAAAAACCAAATGACATGACGTCACAATGCATTGTAGTACCTAGTTATCTTATCAATAGATTGAGACACAGGTATAATTTAATTAATATTTTATTATGTATGTAAGTAAGATTACATAATTGGATTGGACATCAGGCATGGCCTATATAAGTCTACTCCAAGAAAAAATGGCTTCACTAGAATAAATTATAGATCCGCATGTATTAAAAGTCGTGTATTTTTGTTCAGAAATGGAATTTTGGAAATCCCCTTGAAATATAAATAGGTCAGTACCAGTGACGTATAACATGACGTATGTTTCGTCTGCTATAGTTTTGTTGACGATCTATCTCAATAGCAAAATGGAGACGAAACGTCAGGAAATCTCACAACCCTTGAAACAAGTTATTGTGGACCTTTACTTAAATGGAGAAAAAATGTCACCTATTGCAAGAAGTGTCAATAGGTCTCTGGCTTCAGTGCCATACGGTATTTTACTTAAATATCAAGACACAGGATCAGTGGAGAATTTGTAAAGATCGGGTCGGCCTTGTTCTAACGACAATCGGGACTATCGGAGGCTCCAGAGGATTGTTAATAGAGATCAGAGAGCACCCTTAGGAGAAATTACAGCGCAATTTAATGAAAACAGGGCAGCATCTGTGTCTCAGAAGACTGTCAAACGTAGACTTAAAGAAAATGGTTTCACTAGAGGTGTGTATAAGAAAAAAGTTGTGATTAAAAATGTAAATCGAAAGAAACGCTTGTCATGATGTAGGGAGAAGAGATGGTGGGGTGTACAAACTCAGTGGTCCAAAGTTGTATTCAGCGATGAATCTCAGATATGTTTGGAAAAAAGCAGGCGAGGGTTGTAGACCGGACTTAGTGCCACGACGAAATGGCCACAAATTCATTATCATGGTGTGGGGGTGCTTGTGCTTCGGCGGTATCGGAACTTTGTGTCGGGTGGAAGGGAACATTAATTCAGAAAAATATATTAACATCTTAGGTTCAAACCTCTGGCCAGTTATAGTGTGGCATTTCCCACAAGGAAGTTACCTCAGTAATTTTTCTACACCTAATTTAGGTCCGAATATTGGCCCTTTCCCCTCTCAAAAATTACCGATTTTTTCCCAATTTCTGTTGCTTTTTTCCCAACACAAAATCGTTGTTTTTGTTATATTGAATTTTTTACGTACGACTTATCTAAAATGGAACGCTATTGTTCTCAGTCACTAAGACTCTTCTAACAACAGTAAGGAACAGCAGATTACTCAAAGCGTTTACAAGACCTAGAAAAACACATGGGTCTCTTTGTCAAACTTGTGTGTAAATACATCGTTAGAAAGTGTAAGATGCATGTTAACCGGTGAAACATAGCTTTATTTGTAAATCCAAGTACTAATAGTTCTACAAGAAGCATCCCTGATTCCACGAAAATCAAACTGTTTCTACATCCGGCAGATGCAACTAGTATTGCAGAGAAAAATTGCAGCATTATGTTTAGCTAGAGTAATTAGAAAGCTTTAATAATTACTTTGAAAAATAAATGATTTGTAATAAATCATGTCAGATTATTCTATCTTAAACCATGGCTATTACAAGAAGGATTTTCTCTTATGTCTACCATAATGTCAGAGCAAAAAAGGAAATACATGTATACTGATGTAGTCACAATAACACTTTCAAAGATTTTAAAAAAGGTTAAAAATATGGAACTGTGTTTAATTTATTATTTTGTAGCAAATAAATTGATTAATGATGTTACATTTACATAGTTTATTTTACCTGCCAATTTAGGTTACATGACAATTTTAAACATTTTTCCCAATTTGATACAAACGTCGACGATTTTTCCCAATTCTAAAGGCCCAGGCCCCTTTTAAAAAATGTAGAAAATCACTGTACCTCTTTCAAGATGATAACGCCCCTTACATCGCTCTCGTGTTACACAGTATTTTATTGCCAGAAACCATATTAAGAACATTCTCCAGACTTGAATATCATAGAAAATGTATGGCTTTATATTGAAAGAAAACTCCAATCACTGATGCACAATATAAATTCCGCAGACGAACTTTTTCAAGAAACGCTAAAGGATATGGCAGGATATCAATGTAAATTATGTCAGAAATCTTTATCAATCGATTCCAAGAAGAATACAACAGGTCATCAGATTAAAAGGTCATCTTACTAAGTATTAAGGTACGTTATTTGTGATTTTGTCATAGTAAGTCAGCTGTCAATACGGTTCTCCGCACGAGTTGTCTCTCTTCTGTTGGAAACGTGATGCCATATTTTCTCAACACTTCTGTCCCCTTAGGCCAAAGTTTTTATTTTTTTTGGTTTATGATTTTTTGACACAAAAATATGCATTGGGCGGTCAAAAAATAAAAATAAAAATAATTTGGAACCTTGACATATTTTTTTTCTTGAGTAGCATTGAAATGTATTCAAATAAAAATAATAATCACATAAGATTTTTCCACATTATTACAATTTCTTACCATTCGATTTTATGTCAGCAAAAAAGAATCACACGTCAAATGACTCAAGAACAGAAATGGGAGTATCAGAGGCTCTGTTATTGTTGATGGTTTTCATTCTTCCGAGGTTTCCATAAAAGACACATTGCACTGGGACAAATATGGGTAAAATTAAGTGAGTCCGCTATTCTTTGGTCAGCCTTTCCACTTGTGAAAAAGTTTTTGGAAACTTCGAAAGTGATGGATTGCTTTCACAAAAAAATTTTTACCTTATTTAGATATATGTGTGTCCAGGGACCAACCTAGACCCAAAATTTAAGGAGACATTTCTCCCTCAAAAAATTTTTGTCAGAAGTTTTGAAATTTAGGGAGACTTCTTGGCGCGCGCACGTGGCACACATTAATAAATCGTTATAAAACTATTTCATTGTTTATAATTTACATACATTTCAATAATAACTTTGTATTTAAAATGATTAAACAAGAGAAAAAGAATCTTAAAAGATATTTACCCCAATTACAAAGTATATAAATATCTAGAAAAAATAATACAGCAACATTGACATTAAATAAAATTTACTACTACAACTACTATTAAAATGTAAAAGTTTCTTAATGTCAGATTAATTGTTTATCAAACATTTTTTTCATTTCTTACATCGTATCACAAATTTAATCTTTAACTTCTAAAATTTCTCTTCTCATTAGATTTCAGGCTTCTGGCAAAGTAATAAATTTGTTAATTTCTCTTCAAACTTTGTTTTCGATATAAAATTCTTTTTCTAATAAAAGTTCTGACGCACATCTGCATGCCGATTGAACTACTTATGTTTATCGGATCCGATGAGTGACTTCTTATGAAGTTAATAACTTCACAATTTAACAGTAAAAATATGTCTGTAGCCACAGCATGAATTAATTATTTGACAATAAAAAGATCTAAAATCTTCTCCAACATCTTTGGCATGACATCGATAGCTGTCCAGCTGTTTTGCGTCTTGTGTATAACTTGTAACGATGGACTTTTTCATACCCGAAAGTGTAAAATCTAGAGGAGTTCCGACGGAGTATTCGATGCATTGGTCATTAATTAGAAACAGTCTGTAAGTGAGTCGCTCCCAGGTTGGTCCTGACAATCTGTATTTGTGGAGGTCATTTTAATGTTTAGGATGTGTTGTAAATTATAAAAACAGTCGTTTGGTCGAGAAAATTTCGGATTAAGAGTCCAGTTTCGAGAGTCAGACACATTATTTTTATTTTTGTAAATAGGGAAAAATAGGGTCGGCGGAATCGTAAACCAAAAAGAAAAAAAAAACTTTGGCCTTACTGTACATGGGAAATAATATAATTTCTGAGGTTTGAATTTTTTTGGAGTAAGATAAGACTGCAAGAATAATCTGAAATCCTGATGACGTCACAATGCTACTGAAGTCGTTATGACATCATCAGTCAATAGATTATCATTTATCGCTGGAAATCAAAAATTGGAGGCAAAAATTACATGAAAATTTTCCGAGGGTGAATAGCAAAAACTATACCCCGGGGTATAGCTTTGCTATGCGAAGTGTGTTGATTTTGTCCCAATTTTAACGCACTTTGAAAATTTTTTTTTTGCCACAAACCCCTGACCTTGGGGCCATAAAATTCACAATTTTAGCAGAGGCACTCTTACTCATCATAACTATGTACTTAAATAGTTTATTTAATACTCAGGAGCAGAGAATATTTTCAAAAAATTTATGCATTTTTTCACTATATAATCAATAGATCCCCGCCCTAAAACCAGAACCCCTGACCCTAGGGCCATAAAATTCAAAATTTTAAAAGAGGCGCTCTTGATCTTTATAACTATGTACTTAGTTAGTTTTTTTAAATTTCGCACGAAAGCGATGGAATGGAGCTAGATAAAAGCTTGCAAATATTTTATTGCAATAAATTAGAGTACCTGATGCTGATGAACAGCCCAGTATACC